CCTGAGAAGAGAGTGCATCGGCTCTCAGAGAAATGGAGGGGCTTAGGGGCTACAGACAAGGTGCCTCTCATCTGACAGTGAGGAAACTGAGGCCCGGAGAGGTCCCCTGAGCTTCGCAGGTCACTAAGCCGAGGTGCAGGGGAGCTGGGCGGCACCCACAAAGCCCCGCCCTTCCCACCCTGAGCTTCCCGCCTTGCCTGTGGGGTTGGTGCCTCAGTGCCTGCAGCCTCCACTGGCTCAAAGTCCACGGCGGGTTGTCTGCAGGTCCTGAGCTGCTCTGCACTGGCGGCACTCTGGACACTTCTCCCCGGACTGGACTGGTAGCCCACACCTCTTCCTTTAGAGTGGTGCCATGGGGCAGGGCTACCCACTCTGCTCGACCATGGGGAGGATGGGCTGCTTGGGGCTGAACACTGAAGCTCACCTGGGAGAGGCTAATGTTGCCTCTTCCTCCAGGGTGGTGGCCTGGCTGCCTGATGCGCCAGCGGACTTCTGGTGGCTGCAAGACCTGCTGAAGAGTGTCGCCCTTGGGTTGTGCTCCATGACGAAGGCCCAGCTCCTCAGGCTGTGCAGGTGAGGGACAGAGGGCTTGGGGTGCAGTGGGAACAGATGTGCTGGGGGGGCGGCTGTGCAGTTCATACCATCCGCCTGCCCGGCCCCCACTCATGCGGCCCACCCACTCACACAGCCACTGGCGCATGTAGTGGTCACTGTGTGTGCCATCCTGTGCTGGGTGACCAGTCATGCCGGTCAGTCTGTGTGGCCCACTGGGGCTGGTCACATGCAGATGCTTCATGTGATCATGTGTGACCACGTGGGAGGCTGGCCTTTTCTGTGTCCTGGAGGGGTTGCTGGGTCTCCCAGCTCCCTTCTCCACCGGCAGAAGACCTCCCCAGTCCTCCCCACCCATCCTTCCGACCACCCCCAGCTCAGCCACAGCAGGGGCCACGGGCTCCTCCTCAGAGCACAACTCAGGAGAAGAGTGACCACCTCGCTGTGTGCTGGGCCCACGTGGCATCACCTGCCGCATCTTGGGACCCGGGCTCTGAGACTCGCCCTCACTGCTCCTGACCCTCTGCAGCTTGCTGGGCCCCCAGCAGTCTGGGCACAGACCCCCTTCCAGCCCGGGCAGCTGCCGTGGGCCCCACCACCATGGAGCTCAGACCCGCCTACTCCTGCGTGCCCACCTCTGTCCCAGCAGGGAGGGGCCTTGCCAGCCTCTTCGGAGCCAGTTCCCTGGGACCAGAGGACTTTTCTGGAAGAGGCTTGGCCTGTTCGTGTGTCCCTAGTCGCTGGTGCTCAGGCCACTTTCCTGCCCCTGCTGTCTCTTTGGGGGAACCACAGCTCAGAAGGGGCTCCTGGCAGGTCATGTCCATGGGGGTCGTGGAGGGAGTACCTGCCAAAGAGGGGCTGGCATTGTCACTAAGCTATTCACAGGACACTCCACAGGGGACCGATAAAAGTCACGGTGCCCACGCTGGAGAGCAGGGCAGATGGGCGTGCCACCCCGACCCTGTCCCTGTCCTGCACTGGCCCTGGGTGACTCCCGTGGCTGCTTCTACTCCCTGCTGGGTCCATGGCAGGTGGGGAGGGGAAGCCCTCTCCCTCCACTCACAGGAGATGGGAAAGTGGGAGCAGGGAGAGGGTTAAAGTCTCTTTGGGGTCCCACCCCCACCTCATCCCAGGGTGGAGAAGCTACCAGACACCAGCCCTCCTCTGTTCCCCGGGGTCTGCTCTTCTTGTCCTCAGTGGGACCCTCACTGCACCCTGGGCCAGGTCCTGCGGAGACACTCAAGCTGAGGAGAAGTGGGGAGGGTGGAGAGATGGAGGCTCCCGGGAGAGCAGCAGGGACGGAGGAATAAACGTGAGCAGCCGAGACGTCATTCCTGCCTCACGTGTTCAGCACTCACTTCACGAGTTACGGGCTCTGGGCGCACAGCCGGAACGAGGCTTTGCAAACAGGAGAGTGTAAACAACGGGGGTCTTCAGGAAGTGCATGGAAAACGCAGTACTATAGAAAAGCACTCATGGATTTTGAAGTTTTTTCTGCACCCAAACAAACTTGCACTTCGACTCCATTTTTCCCTCACCTGTTTGAAGTCCCCTCATGTAAGACCCTCCCTGGAGTGGTGGTGCTGTGAGGAAAGGTGAAAGTGAAATGAGGTGAGGGGGGAGCTCCAGGAAGGCGTCTCTGAGAGGCGAGGGGTGAGCAGAGGCCTGGGGATAAGAAGCAAAGAGTGTTCCAACCAGAACAGCAAGTGCAAAGGCCCCGTGCTGGGACAGTCCTGGGTGCCTGCATAGCCTGCCCTGCGGGACAGGGCTGCTCTGTGAACAGCAGGGCGGGGTCAGCCAGGAGCTGGGTCCCAGGGCATCTGGGAACTGTGCTCAGAGTTTGGAATTGGGCAAGGGAGCGAAGAGGTGGCTGAAGAGGGAGCTAGGAGAGTAGAGGGAGGGGGGAGGGCCTGCGGAAGGGAGAGCAGGGCAGAGCGAACTTGGTGCTCCCTCCCCTCCCCCATCTCCAGGAGCCCTGGAGGCGGAGCTGACGGACCTATACCACAGTCTCTCTGGGGCAGGGGTAGAACATGCATTGTCCCCTGCATCAGGAAGGGGCTGTCCCACTTTGTCAGGTGGCCCCCACCCCACCCTGCACAGAGCTGGGCTGTGCTGTCCACACTGCTAAGTGCAGATCTGAGATTTCTTCCTGTGGGGCCGAGGGTAGGTCTGCCACCTGGGTCTTGGTTAAAGACCTAGAGTCTCAAGAGACCTTCGGGAATATTCTTGCTTTCCATCCTTTGCTCCTCAGCGTGGACGTGAGCCTCCAGCCCCAGTGTCAATCTGTCCCCCCCGTCAGTTCACTGGGAGCTGCAGTGGGAGCCCCGACCTGTGTGATCTGAGAGCACTCCCTGGTGCCAGGGCCACGAAGGCTTCCCATCAGGTGTGCTGAAGCTGTGAGCCCACACCCTGCTCTTTCTCCCAGTGTCCCAGCTGGGGCCCTCCCTGGGCCTCGGGCCCTGGGGAGGCTGTGGCTCCCATTCTCACGCGTCTTTCCTGGGCTGTCTTCAAGCCTCCGCCTCACCTTCTGAGGGCTACTGCAGGGAGTGCTGGGTCCTACTCAGGCATGAGCGGCTCACAGGCCTCTACTGCTAACCCTGCACAGGTGGTGGGATCCAACCTGTGCACAGGTACACACCACCACACGGTCATAGTCATGCACCCCGGGACGTACACATTATTCTCCCCGCTTTAGGATGGGGAGACTGAAGCTGAGAACTGGCCATGGCCGTCTGTGCTCCAGGCCGCAGAATACCGCTGGGCTGCCCTAGCTCCAGCACCCGCCTGCTCTTGCTGCTGAGCAAAGCCTTTCCTTGATCAGCTCCTTGGTTCCTTGTCTTTAAAATCAGGGGTTGGGCTGCTGGTTTCTAAGGGGACTCCAGTTCTGCCCTAAGCCCACCACACATAAAAGTGAATGCCACTGTGGAGGCGACTTCAGAAGGGGATAAGCCACAGACAGCCTAGTTTCCAAACTGGCTCTCTGCAGATTCCTAGAGGGCAGACTGCAGGTGCCAAGGTAGGATAGCGGTAGCCCATGGTAGCTAAACTCACAATGAGTGTGAGGGTTAGTGAGCTGCAGGCCCTTGTCTGGGTCACACAGCCTGTCAGTGGAAAAGTGAGCAGGCAAGCCCAGGCCAGGCTGTGGTTCGATTCTGTCTGGACGCTAGAATGCTGGGGAAAACACTGGTGCTCCGGACGCTTCTGCAGAAATTCGAGTGTAATTAATCTTGGCCTAATTAAGACCCACCTGACAGGACTCTCCTTAGAGCCTATGGTTCCTGGGCACTGGTGTCCCTGGAGGCCACCCCAGGTGTGCGACTACCTCCCTGTGCCTTAGGTGTGCTCAGTGTCATCTATGGCAAGAGGTATGTGTTAGTCTCAGCTGGGGTCACTGATGCTAGTAGGGGGCCTCGGTCCTGGTACTAAGCCTGGGCCAGCGTACTAGCCCTTACTTGGAGGTGTGCTCGTGTGCTGGAAATACACTTCCAAAGATGTCTTACCTCTCAGAGATCCTTGCTGAAGTATTTATAAGTAAAGTGCTCTAATATGTAGGACTGCATAAAAACAACGCGGATGTATAGGGGGTGGGGATGGGGCCTGATGAAACACATGTCAGTAACGGTTGATACTGGGTTACGGGGACACGGAGGTTCACTTTACCATTTTCTTTAAGTTTGTATATGCTTCACATTTCCACAATAAACTAGTACTTAGCCTTATAAATTTGATAGTACGTGCAAATAGGAAAATATGCCTCAGGCCGGCCCTAGTCATCTTCCCATAAGGGAGCCAGTGGCTTGAAAACTATGGCAGGGGCAGGTAAGTGCATGGTTAAAAATCCTGACAGGATGGAGGAATGAGGAAGGGTCTGCAGAGTGATCATGCCCCAGTGGGAAGTCCTCTCTCTCTCTCTCTTTCTCTCTCTCTCTTTCTCTCTCTCTCTGATGAGCACATGCACCCTTGGGCAATTATTTTTTTTTTGGGGGGGGAGAGGGTTTTGCTATAGGGCACATGGGCTCACTGGAAAGACAGAGAGACAGAAAGTGAGAAATCACCCCCCCAGGGGGATGGCCACGCCACAATCCCTTCTCCTCCATTCTCCTCGCGGGACTTTGGGTACTCATGCACACATGTCTGGTGTGAGATTTAGGCCACCGGGTCCAGGACTTGAACCATGATTCATTACATGGGAGTCCAGCAACATAACCATTATGCCATCTGCTGGTCCCTACCCTTGGGTAATTTTAAAAAAGACAAAAGAAGGACCAGCAGATGGCATAATGGTTATGTTGCTGGACTCCCATGTAATGAATCATGGTTCAAGTCCTGGACCCGGTGGCCTAAATCTCACACCAGACATGTGTGCATGAGTACCCAAAGTCCCGCGAGGAGAATGGAGAAGAGATTGCAGCATGGCCATCCCCCAGGGAGGTGATTTCTCACTTTCTGTCTCTCTGTCTGTGTTTTTCTAGTGAGCGCATGCAGCCTATAGCAAAAATCTCTCTCTCAAAAAAAAAAAAAAAGAGACAATATGTCTCAAGATAGAACATAACACCAAGCAAAACCGGAGGCATCTTGGCGTGAAGAGACCCAGAACGCCAGGTTGCCCACTGAGCAGGACCGGTTGAGGGGCGCGCGTTCAGCACCACGGACAGCGACCACGTCCTGACACTTGAGCAGCCTGAGATTCTCAGAGGACGATCTTCCAGATTCACTTCCTTTAGGAAGAGTTTCTTCAGGACAAAGGGCTAGCCTCTTGTTTTTTCCTTTTTTTTTAGTTTTGCTGTAGGATTAGTGCTCTTGCCTGAGAGAGAAGAAATCATCTCCCAGGGGGCTGACCGTGCAGCAAACCCTTCTCCATTCTCCACTTGAGATTCTGGGCATGCACACGCACCAGGTGTGTTTTTCAAGCCACTGGGTTGGGATGAGAATAGCACAGTCGGCCACGTCAGATCCAGTCACCTTAACCGCCACGCCACTGACTGGGCCCAGCCTCTTCTTACCACTTCCCAGAACGGGCAGTCCAGGCTTAACTTTGATATTTTTGGCTCATGAGAAGCTACTGTCTTCTGCTTTTCAAGATACCTTTGTCAAAACCCAGTGGAGCCTACATGTTTGTGTCTGTTTCTGGGCTCACTATTCTGTTGCATTTATCTACGTCTATACTTATGTCAGTTACACACCATCTTCATTCATAGCTTTGATGCAAGTAGCTTCCTAGTAAGTCTTGAGATCAGGTGGTGTGGGCCTTGTTCTTTTTACAAACCGTTTCAATGATTCTAGACTTTTTTGCATGCCAACTTCCACAAAAGAGCCCACTGGGATTTTGTTTGGGATTGCAGGGACTCTATAGACTTTGAAGAGAATGGACATCTTAAAAACGTTGAGTCTTCCGGGACCAGCAGTTAGCGTAATGGCTATGTCACTGGACTCC